AAATCTCCCAGCAAAGAAAAGCCTGGGACCTGATGGCTTCACTACAGAAGTCTACCAAACATTTAAAGAAGAATCAATACTAATTTTACTCAAACTATTCTGAAAAACAGAGGAGGAAATAATTCCAAACTCACTCTACGAGGCCTGTATACCAAAATCAAAGGCATATTACATATTAAAAAAAAAAAAACTATAGGCTAATATCACTGATGAATATTGATGAAAAAATCCTCAACGAAACACTAGCAAACCAAATTCAACAACACATTAAAAAGCTCTTTCACCATGACTAAATAGAATTCATCAAAGGGATGCAAGGATAGTTCAACATATGCAAATCAATCTGATACAGCATCACATCAACAAAATGAAGGACAAAAACCATATGATCATTTCAATGGATGCTGAAAAAGCACTTGATAATCACAATAAAAACCTTCAAAAAACTGGGTTCAGAAGAAACATATCCCAACATAATTAAAACAGACTCTCATCTAGTATCATACTGTTGAGGAAAAAAGAAGCCTTTCTCCTAAGATCTGGACCACAACAAGGATGTCCACTTTCACCACTGTTATTCAACACAGTACTAGAAGTCCTAGCTGGAGCAATCAGACAAGAGAAAGATATAAAGGGCATCCAGATTGGAAAGGAAGGAATCAAGTTATCTTTGTTTGCAGATGATATGATCTCATATTTGGAAAAACCTAAAGACTTCACCAGAAAGCTATTAGAACTGATACATATTCAGTAAAGTTACAGGATACAAAATCAACCTACAAAAATCCAGCATTTCTATATGCCAACACCAAACAATCTGAAAAAGAAATTAAGAAAGTAATCCCATTTACAATAGCTACAAATAAAATTAAATACCGGTGAAAATTTTCATGTTTAAGAAAGCAGAAAAAAAAAAATTAAATACCTAGAAATTAACCAAAGACAGAAGATCTCTACGATGAAAACTAAAACACTGAAGCAAGAAACTGAAGAGGACACAAAAAACTGGGAAGATATTCCATATTCATGGGCTGGAAAACTCAATATTGTTGAAATGTCCATTCTCCCCAAAGCAATCTACAGATTTCATGCAATCCCTATCAAGACACCAATAACGTTCCTCAAAAAAGTAGAAAAAGCAATCCTAGGTCACATGTGGTGACTCATGCCTATAATCCCAGTGTTTTGGGAAGCCAAGACAGGCAGATCACTTGACGTCAGGAGTTTGTGACAAGCCTGGCCAACATGGTAAGACTCTGTGTCTACTAAAAATAAAAAAATTAGCCAGGTGAGGTGGCGGGTGCCTGTAATCCCAGTTACTCTGGAGGCTGAGGCACAAGAATCACTTGAACCTGGGAGGCAGAGGTTGCAGTGAGCTGAGATTGTGCCACTGCACTCCAGCCTGGGCAACAGAGCAAGACTGTCTCAAAAAGAGAACAGGAGAGGGAAAAAAAGAAAAATCCTAAAATTTACATGGAACCACAAAAGACCCAGAACAGCCAAAGATATCTTAAGGAAAAAGAACAAAACAAGGAATTTCATCACCTGACTTCCATTATACTAACCAAATTATAGTAACCAAAACGGCATGATACTGACATAAAAACACACATAGATCAGTGGAACAGAATAAAGAACGCAGAAATAAATCCATACATCTATATGAACTCACTTTAGACAAAGGTCCCAAGAACATACAATGGGGAAAAGGATAATCTCTTCAATCAACGGTGCTGGGAAAACTGAGTATCTTTATGCAGAAGAATGAAGCTTGACCTCCTATCTCTAGCCATATTAAAAAAAATCAAATGAAAACAGATTAAAAAACTTAAATCTAAGACCTCAATCTATGAAACTTAAGGAAAACACTGGGGAACCTCTCCCGAACACTGGAGTGGACAGGATTTCTTGAGTAATACCCGACAAGCACAAACGGACAAACAGGATCACATCAAGTTAAAAACCTTCTGCATAGCAAAGGAAACAATCAACGAGACAAGAGACAATTACAGAATGGGATAAAATATTTGCAACTACCCATCTGGCCAGGGATTAATACCCCAAATATATAAGGAGCTCACACAACTCTACAGGAAAAAAAAAAAAATCTAATAATCCAATCAAAATGGGTAAAGGATCTGATTAGATATTTCTCAAAAGAAGACACATACAAATTGCAAACAGGTATATGAAAAGCTGCTCATCAGAGAAAATGCAAATCAAAACTACAATGAGATATAATCTCATCCCAGTCAAAATGCCTTTTATCCAAAGACAGTCAATAACAAATGCTGCCAACCATGTGGAGAAAGGGGAACCCTTGTAGACGGTTGGTGGGAATATAACTTAGAACAGTTTGAGGTTCCTCAACAACTAAAAATAGAGCTATCATATGACCCAGTGATCCCATTCCTAGGTATACACCCAAAATAAAGGAAAACAGTACATCAAAGCAATGTCTACACTTCCATATTTATTACGGCACTACTCACAATAGCCAAGATTTGGAAGCAACCTAAGAGTCCATCAACAGATGACTGGATAAAGAAAATGTGGTACTTATACATAATTCAGCCATAAAAAGAAGGAGATCCTGTTGTTTGCAAAACCACGGATGGAACTGGAAGTCATTATGTTAAACGAAGTAAGTCAGACACAGAAAGGCAAACTTCACATGTTTTCACTTATTTGTGGAAACTAAAAATTAAAACAATTGAACTCATGAACATAGAAAGCAGAAGGATAGTTACTAGAGGCTGAGAAAGGTAGGAGGTAGGATGGCGGGGAGTGGGGATGGTTAATGGGTACAAAAAAAAAGAATGAATAAGACCTAGTATTTGCTAGCACAACAGGTGACTTAGTAAAAAATCACTGTACATTTTAAAATAATTAAGAATATACAGGACAAAGTTGAGTATTGGATAACTAAAGCAAAAAATTAAAAATAAAAATATAACTAGATTGTTCGTAACACAAAGGATAAATGCTGAGGGAATGGATACCTCATCTTTCATGATGTGATTATTACGCATTGCATGCCTTTATCAAAATATCTCATGTGACCCATAAATATATACATCTGCTATGTATTCACAAAAATTAACAACTAAAAAAACCAAATTGGGCACAGTGGCTCTTGCCTGCAATCCCAACATTTTGAGAGGCCAAGGTGGGCGGATTCTTTGAGCCCAGGAGTTCAAGACCAGCATGGGCAACATACCAAAACTCCACCTCTACAAAAAAATATAAAAATTAGCTGGGTGTGGTGGCATGCACCTGTAGTCCCAGCAACTCAGGAAGCTGAGGTAGGAGGGTGGCTTGAGCCTGTGAGGCAGAAGTTGCAGGGAGCCAAGATAGCGCCACTATACTCTAGCCTGGGCGACAAAGCCAGACCCTGTCTCAAATAAACAAATAGTATTGAAAAAAAAACTTTGTTGTGAGACAAAAAAAAAAGGTTTTTTTTGTAGACAACACTTATATCTCTACAAAAAACACAAAAATTAGCCACGCATGGTAGCCCACACCTATAGCCCCAACTACTAGGGAGGCTCAGTAGGCTAAATCAAGAGGATCCCTTAACTCCAGGAAGTTGAGGCTATAGTGAGCATTGATCAGACCACTGCACTCCAACCTGGAAGACTTTGTCTCAAAAAACAAGAAAGATTTAATAGCAACTGGTTCATAAATATGCAAAACTGCTATGTAAAGTTTCCACACATTTTGTAACAGAAAATGTTAGGAGTAAGATGATGTGTGTGGTATCACTCCTTACACTCCAAGTCATTAAGCTTGCTTCTTTCACAGTACCTACTACTAACATCCAACTTTTTATAAAAATAATTTATGCTCTTTGCTTGTTAGCACAGATATCTTTTCAAAGTTTTTATAAGGTAAGTGGCTTATAAAATTTTATCTGAAAGAAAAAAAAAACCCACTAGACTATTAAGGTTTAAGATCAAACATACTTGGCCAGGAGTGGTGGCTTATGCTTGTAATCCCAGCACTCTGGGAGGCAGAGGTGGGTGGATCACCTGAGGTCAGGAGTTCAAGACCAGCCTGGCCAACATGGCAAAACCCCATCTCTACTAAAAATACAAAAATTAGCCAGGCATGGTGGCATGCACCTGTAGTCCCAGCTACTTGGGAGGCTGAAGCAAGAGAATCGCTTGAACCCGGGAGGTGGAGGTTGCAGTGAGCCAAGATCACACACTACACTCCAGCCTGGATGACAGAGGGAGACTGTGTCCCTCCGCCACCAAAAAAAAAAAAAAAAAAAAAAAAAAAAAAATCAAACATACTGTGCTACCATTTGAAAAAGGTGAGAAATTAATAAAAGGTTAGTCCTATTAGAAATTCTGTTATAATGTTATGACAATCAACAAAAGTATAATAGCAGCAGAGGAATAAACAAGTTGCTAGGAAAAAAAAAAAGCCCACAGTCACCAGTACAGGTAAGTATTCCACATGTAATAAAAGAAAAACCAGAAAACAGTGAGAAAGGGAATGTTTATTCAATAAACAGGGACTGGAACATGTGGCTGGTTTTTGAAAAATAAACTACTCAGATCCTTACCCTACAGCAAAATAAATTCTGAGTATATCACACCTCTATCAACTCTCCGTAAGATACAAACAATATATAAAAAGTAATTTAAATTTACTAAATACGGCCAGCACAATGGCTCACACTTGTAATCCCAGCACTTTGGGAGGCTGAGGCAGGCAAATCACTTGAGGTCAGTAGCTTGGGACCAGCCTAGCCAATATGGTGAAACCACATCTGTACCAAATATACAAAAATCAGTCAGGCGTGGTGGTGCAGGCCTGTAATCCCAGCTATTCAGGAGGCTGAGGCACAAAAATCGCTTGAACTTGGGAGGCAGAGGTTGCAGTGAGCCAAGATTGGGCCATTGAACTCCAGCCTGGGCAACAGAGCAAGACTCCATCTCAAACTAAATAAATCAACAAATTAATTTACTAAATATGTAATAAGTGAGGGAAAGCAGAATCTACACCTTCCCGGCCAGCGGTAGCAACTGCCTAACTGCAGGAGACAATCTTTCTAGACAAGGCAGTTGAGGAGGAGGGAGCGCTTGAGGGAGACTGACCTGGCGTGCACTCCGCACCTCAGGGACGTTGCGCGTGGAACGGCTGCTTTTGGAAGACTGTTGCCCAGAAGAAGAGATGTTTGGTTTTCACAAGCCAAAGATGTACACCGAAGTATAGAGGGCTGCTGTATTTGCAGAGCTAAGTCCTCCAGTTCTCGATTCACTGACAGTAAACGCTATGAAAAGGACTTCCAGAGCTGTTTTGGATTGCATGAGACTCGTTCAGGAGACATCTGCAATGCCTGTGTCCTGCTTGTGAAAAGATGGAAGAAGTTGCCAGCAGGATCAAAAAAAAAACTGGAATCATGTGGTAGATGCAAGGGCTGGACCCAGTCTAAAGACTACATTGAAACCAAAGAAAGTGAAAACTTTATCTGGGAACAGGATAAAAAGCAACCATATCAGTAAACTGCAGAAGGAATTTAAACGTCATAATTCTGATGCTCACAGTACCACCTCAAGTGCCTCCCCAGCTCAATCTCCTTGTTACAGTAACCAGTCAGATGACGGCTCAGACACAGAGATGGCTTCTGGTTCTAACAGAACACCAGTTTTTTCCTTTTTAGATCTCACATACTGGAAAAGACAGAAGATTTGTTGTGGGATCATCTATAAAGGCCGTTGTGGCGAAGTCCTCATTGATACACATCTCTTCAAGCCTTGCTGTAGCAATAAGAAAGCAGCTGCTGAGAAGCCAGAGGAGCAAGGGCCAGAGCCTCTGCCCATGTCCACTCAGGAGTGGTGACTGAGGTTTTTATGCAGAAGGGGAACAGAAAACCATCTAAATTTTGAAAAGAACACAAAGCAACAAACTGACCCTTTTTTTCCCCCCACCCCCGAGACAGAGATTTGTTCTTGTTGCCCAGGCTGGAGTGCAGTGGCATGATCTTGGCTCACTGCAACCTCCGCCTCCTGGGTTCAAGTGATTCTCCTGCCTCAGCCTCCCGAGTAGCTGGGTTTACAGGTGCCCGCCACCACACCCAGCTGATTTTCATATTTTTAGTAGAGATGGGGTTTCACCACATTGGCCAGGCTGGTTGGTCTTGAATGACCTTCTTATTTTTAATTTGGATACCTGCCATTCTGCCAAAAGACAACTTCTAGAGTAGTTTTGAATGGGTTGATTTTCCTCAGTTTCACAAACTCTGAAGCCAGTGTCTAGCTTACTAAAAAAAGAGTTGTACATAATATTTAAGATGCTGAGTATTTCATAGGAAAGCTGAATGCTGCTGTAAAGTGCTCTTTAAGTCTTTTTTTTTTTTTTAAATCCCCTTCTAATGAATGAAACTAGGGGAATTTCAGGGGACAGAGATGGGATTTGTTGTATGATAAACTGTGTAGTTTTTAGTCTTTCTGTATTGAGAAGCAGTGGTTGGGGCATTTTTTAAAAGATGGCTGGCTACACTTGTTTTCCCTCATGATAATAAATTTGTCATAACTCAGTAACATGGACTTCGACCCTAGAGGTAGTTGTTAATAATTTTGAAATATTAAGGTCTTGCCAAGGTTCTGAAGATTCAAACCTGTACTACTGATTATTAAGCAGGACAGACTGAGCTTACTGTTGGCAAGTATCTTGGAGGAGAAAGTAATTTCTAAATATATAGAGAGGTAACTTGACTATATATGCTGCGTCCTGTGCTACCTTCCTTCATATTAGTATTTGATAAAGATTTTTATGTAAAACTTCTAAAGCAGAATTAAAGCGCCTCTTGGGGAAACGGCAAGTCTTTAGGACAGGTGAGGCCCTGTATGAATAGTACCAAAGCATTACCGCATGGTAGAGAACACACTCTGTTAAAAATGCTAAGCTATCTGAAAAATAAAATGTGCAGGTCTTCAGGATGGCACAAAATAGGTTAATGCTTCTTGGGGCACATTTCTTAGAGGGCTTGCTGAGTGTGTAAATATAATCAACTTTTGTTTGTGTTAAAAAAATATGTAATAAGTAACTTTAATATACATTAAAAAATATATTTTTAAAGTTGACTCATAAAAATATTTTAGAAGATATTATCAATAACTACCATATTTTAAATTTTTTTTAGTTTTTGAGACAGGGTGATTCTGTTGCCCATGCTGCAGTCCAGTAGCACAATCACAGCTCACTGTAGCCTCACCCTCCTGCAGGGCTCAAGCAATCCTGCCTCAGCCTTCCAAGTAAATGAAACTGCAGGCATGTGCCTCCACATCCAGCTAATTATTATTATTATTATTATTTGTATTATTATTATTATTATTTGTAGAAACAGGGCCTCCTTACATTGTCCAGGATGGTCTCGAGGTCCTGGGCTTAAGTGATCCTCCCACCTCAGCCCCGCACAGTGTTGGGATTAGTAGTGTGAGCCACCACGCCCAGCCAGTAACTATCAAATCTGTGAATATGAATAGAATGAAAATAAAATTACAATGAAAGAAAAAGGAAAGTATTAATTCAACTACAAAAAGATTTAAATCTCCTGTGCATCAAAAGAAAAACCACCAAAAGTGGAAAGGCAAGGAATAAACTAATCAAAGTATCTACAGGTTGAAGTAATCAGACATTATGGCCTCCTGATACAATACACTATGAATTTCATAAAACCACTAATAAAATATTCATTCTTCCCCCAAAAAATGTTGAACCTGAATTAAAACTTTAGAGGAAAGCTGTTAAAAAAATCCAGGAGACAGAGAAACAAGTTAACCACCAAGAAACAGGCAATAAACAAAAAATCCAAAATATGGGACATTTTACAGGGAAAGTAACCCAGTTTCTTCAAAAAAATCAAAAGTATAAAAACGAAGGAGAATCAGTTTTTAGACAATCTCCCCCACCACAGATACACAAAAGCTTCTGAGTCCATTCATAATAAACTAAAAAGTCCTCATCAAAGCCTGCATCCTTGGGATTTTATCCCGTGAAAAAGAATCCAAAAAACCGAAAAATTCACATACAGAAAGATGATGCTCAACATGTTTTTTAATTTCCTTTCCTATTTATTTATCTATTTTTATTTCTTTTTCCAACTTTTATTTTAGATACAGCAGTGCAGGTTTGCTACCTGGGAATATCGTATAATGCTGAGGTTTGGGGTACAAATGATCCCACATCACCCAAGTATTGAATAGAACACTCAATATTCTTTCAGCCCTTCTCCCCACTCCTTTCTCCCCCATCTAGTAGTCTCCAGTTTCTGTTGTTGCCATCTTTACATCTATGAGTACCCAATGTTTAGCTCCCACTTCTAAGTGTGAACATGTGGTATTCTACAACGTGAATTTTAACAGTGAAAAAACTCACTGTTTTAATGACAAAAGAATGTTAAGCAAATTAAAGCATACCAAGAATGTAATATTCTATAGACTCTAAAATGTTTATAGTAATGAAAAGGATGTGTAATAATGAAAACTGCATATTTTAAATGTTTAGTGAAAAATCAGGATAAAAGGATATATGGACCAGGTGCAGTGGCTCACACCTGTAATCCCAGCATTCTGGGAGGCTGAGGCAGGCAGGTCACTTGAGCCCAAGAGTTTGACACCAGTCTCGGCAACATGGCAAAACCCCTGTCTACAAAACAAAAATCAGCCGGGTATGGTAGTGCATGCCTGTAGTTCCAGCTACTCAAGAGTCTATGGTGGAAGGATTGCTTGAAGCAGAGGTTTCATTGAGCCAAGATCACAACACCGCACTCCAGTATGGGCAACAGAGTAAGACACTGTCTCAAAAAAAAAGTGGTGGGGGGATATATAAGGTAAGAAGAAAACCTACACAAAAGCACATTAAAAATGGAAAGGAAATACACTGAAATATTAATACTGTATGGCTAGTGTTTGCATTTCCAAGTTATTTTATTTTTTCTTTGCTTTCTAGTTTTAATAACCAATCATATTCTGTGATGTTAAAAAGTCTTTCTCAAATTAGAAACTATATATATGCTATATATATGACTCAAGAAATAACAAATCTAGGTAAGTTGATTTTGTTACAGCATATTTGTTTTTCTGATTTCAAAATGTTATTTATTAAGCAGGGTGTCATTCCATAACCATTTTCTAAACATTTCCCCAAATCCTAACCAAACAAAGCTCTCTTAAATTCTTTCTCCATTATACTTCTTTTCAGCTTCTCCCTGAGTAACACATATTTAGTGGGAATAAAGTTTTTATTTCAGCTGCAGGCAGTGGCTCATGCCTGTAATCCCAGCACTTTGGGAGGCAGATCACTTGAGGTCAGAAGTTAGAGACCAACCTGACCAATATGGTAAAACCCGTCTCTACTAAAAATACAAAAATTAGCCAGGCGTGGTGGCACTCACCTGTAATCCCAGCTCCTCAGGAGGCTGAGGTGGGAGAATAGCTTGAATTCAGGAGGCAGAGGTTGTAGTGAGCTGAGATAGTGCCAATGCACTCCAGCCTGGGCGACAGTGCAAGACTCCATCTCAAAAGAATATAAAATTACTCTGTATTTAAAAGCAACATTATAACCTCACATCTAAAAGACCCATGGAGGAGTGAAAAACATTTGTTGAAAGTGTACTTTCTGTATACTGTTTTAAGTTTCTTTGTTCTATAAAACATGGTACTATTTGTTTGATACATTGGACAACAGCAACCAAAATTTATTTTGAGTTTATAGTCTGCAACAAAAAATATCATACTAACATTCAAGTTTAATTGGCACAGACACATCTGCTATGTTGAACAGAAACAAAGACTCATACGTGGGGAACGACAGTTCTGAGTTTTTCTCTTTCCAGCAAATATGCTTCATTAGCAATTACGCTTTTTTACTATAGAGTTTCTCTGGGCTCGCTGCCATGTTACCTCTTAACAGAAAAGTTAACACTGAGGAACCTGTGCCTGTGTACAATCTCAGCAGATTTACACTTATTGTTGTTTTTTTTAATGCACATTTTTAAACATATACCCAAGGCCAGAGAGAACAAAGGAAAAGTATAATGAACTCCCATGTACTCACTACGGAGCTTCAACAATTATCAATGGTTTATTATTCTTGTTTTATCTACTCCCCTCCCAATATTTTAAGACAGGGAGCTGGCCTTGAGTTGGCCTTGAATATTTTAAAACAAATCTTAAACATGATTAGATGAAAATTTCTGTCTAGCAAACTGAAAAGGTGTTGTTGAGATGTAGCCTCGCTGTCGCCCAGGCAGGAATGCAGTGGCACGATCTTGGCTCACTGCAACCTCCACCTCCCAAGTTCAAGTGATTCTCCTGCCTCAGCCTCCTGAGTGTTCAAGACTACAGATGCACACCACCACACCTGACTAATTTTTGTATTTTTAGTAGAGATGCGGTTTCACCATACTAGTCAGGCTGGTCTTGAATTCCTGACCTCATGATTCGCTCGCCTCAGCCTCCCAAGGTGCTGGGATGACAGGCATGAGCCACTGTGCCTGGGCTCAAACTAAAAAGTTTTTTTTTTCCTTTTTTTTCTTTTTTGAGACAGAGTTTCACTCTTGTTGTCCAGGCTGGAGTGCAATGGCGCATCTTGGCTCACTGCTACCTCCACCTCCCAGGTTCAAGCAATTCTCCTGCCTCAGCCTCCCAATTAGTTGGGATTACAGGCACCTGCCCTCATGACCGGTTAAATTTTTGTGTTTTTAGTAGAGGTGGGGTTTTACCATGTTGACCAGGCTGGTCTCAAACTCCTGACCTCAGGTGATCCACCCACCTCAGCCTCCCAAAGTACTGGGATTACAGGAGTGAGCCACCGCGCCTGGCCTCCAAAAAGTTTTAAAGGCACTTATCTTCTTTCACTTAAAATTTAAGATATTAAAAATATTAAGTTATTAAACAACATCTAATATAATTCAAATTAGAATCCAGCTGGGCACAGTGACACACGCTTGTAATCCCAGTGCTTTGGGAGGCTAAGGCAGGAGGATCACTTGAGCCTAGAAGTTTGAGACCAGCCTAGGCAATAAAGTAAAGCCCCACCTCTAAAAAAAAAATTTTTAATTAGCCAGACATACATAAGCAGAATATGCATTTAAAAAAAGAAAAAGAAAAACTTAGCCAGACATGGTGATGTATACCTGTAGCCCCCACTATGTGGAAGGCTGAGGTATATAGGATCACCTGAGCCCAGGAGGTCAAGGCCGCAGTGAGCTGTGATCATTCTACTGCACAGCAGCTTGGGTAACACCTGTCTCAAAAAATAAGGGAGTTAAGCAACTCTCTCACCAGTAGAACCCAGAGTAACTGATTCTAAGACCAGGTTCTTTTCCTCACAAGACATACTGTCCCTTTAAAAATCTGATTACATCACAAGACCTCTTGGACTTCTGAACCTAGTTCAATTAACAAGTAAATGTTTAGATCATACTCGTTTTGTCAAACAACAAGAAGAAATAAATGAATTTCCTTTATAACTTTTCTTATAACTCATGAGAACCTGACATTTTCTTAAATGTTGCATTATATATTGGAGCA